TGTAACTTAAAATGTCTGTTTTCTTTTCAATCCTCGTAAACATGTTCATGCATTTGTGGTCATTATGAATATTGAATTCTATAAATTTCATATTATTTGTAAAGTTAATTCCAAATTGCTTGCTAAAGTGGTTAATACGCTAGAAATTAACTGGGCTAATTCGGCTGATAAATATGATTGTAACTCATTAGGAGAAAAGATCAAATGGGTGAAAGACTGGCTAGTATTACATATTAGGAGATTTGCTATCTAGTGTAATGAAATAATCTGGTCCCTGCATTTTCATGCCACATGAAGTATGCCAAATTATACCTTCGATACACAGATTGCTTGTGAATGAAAAGTCTCCCAGGTATATTAGAATTTGCATGGGTTGTTATCTATAAGTAATTGGAATCTTTAAAAAAAAAAAAAAATTAACGCCTTGCTTTCTTCAGCTTTGTTATTTAAATAAGAATATTTTGCTTCCAATAAATGTCATGATTCATTCTCAGATTTTTCTATGGCCAAGTCCTCTATGATATTTGGGAGGACATAGCTTTCCCCCACAGCAGTCAAAAGAATGCATTCAATACAGCATTTCTCTAGTAGCTTTTTTTGTTATTGCACGCATATTGTTGTCTAAGTAAATTCAATAAAATAAATCAAGGAAAGATTATTTACTCTTTATGAATGAAGTTACATGTTTTCTTAATGCTTTAAAGAAAGATCCACATTTCAACAGTTTGGCTTATTTTTGTACACCTGTTTTGAAAAGGGGAGTCCTGGTGTGGCGCTGTGGGTTAATGTACCAGACTGCAAAGACGTTTGAAGTACAAGGTTGGTGGTTCAAGCTCACTAGCTGCTACTTGGAAACCCTAGACAGGGTCGCTATGGATCAGAATGGACTCGACAGCAATTCACAACATCATTGTAAAAGGGATCTCAGGTAGCGTAGTGTTATGAATCAGGAGGCAAACCGCAAGGTCAGCAGTTCAAAACTACCAGATGTTCCGTGGGAGAAAGATGAGGCTTTCTGCGCCTGTAAAGATTTATAGCCTCGGAAACCCTGTACAGGGTCGCTATGAGTCAGAACCGACTCCACGCCACATAACCATCACCATTGTGAAAAGTAAACCTCTTCTTGAAAATATCCAACAGATGCTATGTTTTTCCTAATTCAGATTGAAGTTCAAAACTGTCACCAAACAGTAAGGCTATTTCCATCCCCAGCTCTTGATAAATCTTGCTTAGTAGAAAGAATAACATTTAGGGTGCTGATCACATCCACTGATCAGAAGTGACTCCTAATTACCACCATTCCTGCTACTATGTGACTTTGAACAAGTTGTTCAACCTTTTTGAGACTTATTTTTCCCATTGCTTAAAACAGAGATAGTGTTCCTGGTCTATGAGAAATAATGTAAGCTAACATACAGAGGAGACTGTTCAATTTGTGGTATATAGTAAGTGCTTGGTTAGTATGTATTTTATAATCACGAGATGTTTAAAAAATGAATGATGCTGTCGGATAAGCCCTTGACCATAAGGTTGATTTGAACTGCAAGGTCGATGATTCAAGCTAACCAGCTGCTTCTCGGAAGTCCTATAAAGGGTTGCTATGAGTCGGAACCGACTCAATGGCACTTAACAATAACAACATGGACAAACAAGGGTATTGCTGTTAGGATTCCAGTTCATACATGTACAAGTGTATTCCAAACAAATTATGTTTAAACATGTCTTTGTAATTTGTGAATGGTTGAAGACAAATTCTCTCAGTAATACTCATGTCTTAGTCATGTTGTTGTTGATATAGGCTTTCCTCTATAGGCTTTCCTAAGAGTTTAAACCACCAACCTTGCAATCCAGTGCCACACCAGGACTCCTTAGTCTTGTTAGGGTGCCTTCAAAAAACAATGTCCCATCTGGAAGTCAGCATCCAAGAGGATCTTCTAGGCCAGCTAAATTCAAGGTGGAGAAGTCAACTCAAAAGGTTATGGCAACTCTTTTGGTGATTCCAAAGGTGTAATCTTGATAGAGTTTCTTGAAGGACACAGGACAGTTATGGCGACTTATTATGAAGACCTTTTAAGAAAATTGAAAACTGCATTGTTGAGAACAAGACCAGGAAAGTTGAGCTGAGGAATTGTCTTTTACCAACACAATGTACTTGCTCATTCTTTGAGGTTATCAAGAGCTGTCTTACGAGAATTTCATTGTCAAACCTCCACACCATCTACCCTACAACCCTAATCTTCCCACTTCAGACTGTGTTTTCTTCCCCAGACTCAAGGAACATTTAAAAGAAACATGATTTGAGTCCCTTGAGGATTAAAACTGCTGTTTCAACACAGTGTGACTCAAAGAGCACAGAATTCTTTGGGGGAAGGATTGGTGGTGTGCTGTGGAGTTGGTTCCAACTCGTAGTAACCCTGTATAGGGTGTCTAAGACTGTAAATTTTTATGGGAGCAGAAAGCCTCATCTTTCTCCCATGGAACTGTTGGTAGTTTCAAACTGCTGACGTTGAGATTAGCAGTCTGACTCATAATCACTATGCTACCAGAACTCCTTAGGAGGAAGCACTGTAGAAATGGAAACCCCACCCCACCTTCAGAAGTATGTAGACCTACATGGAAGATACGTTGAGTAACTGTAGCTTCACATTTTGATAGTTTTTAAAATAAAGGTTTCTGTGCCTTTGTAGTAGTACATTTGATTAACTCTTGTACATATATGAATACACTTAGAAGAGACACCATTGTTCTTGTTGTTCTTAACTGTCATGGCGTCAGTTCCAACTCATAGCAACCCTGTATAGGGTTTCCAAGGAGCGCCTGGTGGGTTTGAACCACCAACCTGGCAGCTTAAGCTAACCTTGTGGTCTTTCACATTATCCTGAAGTGCTACACCAGAAGAGAGACCACTGTTGTTGTGTGCCTTCAAGTTGGTTCTGATTCATAACGACCCTGTATAGGGTTCCTGAGGAGTGGCTGGTGAGTTTAAATCACCGACCTTGCAGTTCAAACCGACCTGGAGGTTGAATGCTTGCTTACCTTATGGTGCCACACCAGGATTCTGAAGAGAGACTAAAAGAACATTAATGTGAAATCCGACTAAGTGGTACACTTTGGGCTGGTTGTATTTACACATACACATATATAATTGGACCACATATAATATGTTTGATACTTTGGACTGATTTCACTAGTTTAATAATTGCTAAACCACTCAATTAAGACAAAATGCATATGCTGGGCTAAATTCATTGTTTTAACAATTTATATAATGATCAAATGATTGGGATCATCAAATATTCAACTACTTATAATATAATTTTATGTAATTTTTAGTGCTGGTGTAATAAATAATGTTTCTGAGTCTTAGCTTTAGTTCTGTTGCCATTTTATACTCCAGAAAAAGTGGCATTAAAGCTGTAAGCACACATATGAACTGATAGGCAAGACAACTGATTAAATTGTGTTCTTTGTGAAGGTGTATTTGGTGGTCACATTTATGCTGGTTTATTGTATAGTCAGTGTTGTGGAACTTGGTGAGTTTCATTAGCAATATAAACTTCAAGGCAAATTCCAGACTATTATTGGCTGTCTTCAAGTTGATTCTGACTCATAGTCACCCCATGTGACAGAGCGGAACCATAGATTTTTCATCTTTATAGAAGCAGATTACCATGTCTTTCTCCCATGTATCTGCTGGGTGGGTTTAAACTGTGCATCTTTCATTAACAGCCAATCAACTGGTTAAGAATTTGAACCACCAAACCACACAAACCAAACCCACTGCCTTCAAGTCCTATCCATCGTGTAAGATAGAGCAGACCTGCCTCATAGTTTCTGGGGCTGCAGCTATTTCTCCTGGTGGGTTTGAATAGCTGACTTTTCCGTTAACAGCTTAGTCCCCTTGCCCCGAAGGCTCCTTACATTTCAGAGTAGATTGTCTCCATACTTTCATTAGACCATGAATCAGCTGGGGATCTGGTAGAATTTGCCTTAGGATTCATCATACCTGAGGTAGTACCTGCAAGAGTCCACTTCTAACATGCTTCCAGGTGTTATCAATATGCTAGTCTGTGGACCAAACTTTGAGCCACAAGATGATATAAAAACTAAGGGGCTTAGGGGATAAAATGAATAGAGTCCTGGTGTTGTGCTGTAGGATAAGCACTAACCACAAGGTCAGCAGTTCAAACCCACCAGCCGCCCTTGGAAACCCTATATGGGGTTGCTATGAGTCAGAACTGACTTGATGACACTTAACAACTTGCAAAGCCTGGTCCCAAAAATGAATTAAAAATTCAGAGTCATTGAATAGCTGTGGTCCTGCCCCTCTATTTCAGGTATTCCGGTGATGTCCTAAGATGTAATAGAATTTTCATTTTCTATCATTCCTTTGTATTATCTGTTAGTCTTTCTACCTCTCAGACCTCATTGAATATCAATGTGCGGTGTATATGAAACATCTCTAGTTCCAGTCTTTAGAGCATTCTAGCTGCATTACTGGCCCTAACTATGTCTACAGCAAAAAACAATGAGAGTGTGGACTACTTTACTCACAGCTAGGCTTTTGGACTTAAGTTGTGGCATTATAGGATCAACACTGGACTGCAAACCACAAGGCCTGCAGTTCCAACCTACCAGCTGCTCCATGGAAACTCTATACAGGGTCACTATGAGTCGGAATTTATAAATGGCACTTAACAGTAACAACAAGGCTTTTGTTACCAAATGAAAAGACTCATATATTATTGTTTCTCTAAGTTCAGTCCTGATTTCCTAATGCCTTTAAGTGAGCATTTATAGAAGCTTTCTGAGGAAGCTAATTCCAAATCCTTAGCCATTTCGATGAGTGTGAAGATTGAGCTTCACCTGTAGAATTCACAGTGCGTAGGGACTGATTTTGTATGTAATTTGACTACAGAGGTATCGTCTTAAAATGTGTTGAATTCTTCATATGATGTAGCTGTGACTTGAGATGTAATATGCGCCATTGCTTGTTACAGAGCATAACAGTCGCAAGAGTAAAGACAAGAGGACAACCAGAAGGAGAAAATGGGGAGGACGCAGTCACCTGGCAGATGACGTGGCAAGCTTAAAAAGCAGCTTAGCAGCAAAGGCTTTGGCTGGCTATGGTAACAAGACAGACGACACAAGAGAAAAGAGGACCCACAGAAGGACAAAACGTTTCTTATCCTATCCACGGTTTGTCGAAGTGATGGTGGTGGCAGACAATAAAATGGTTGCATACCATGGAGCAAACCTTCAACACTATATTTTAACTTTAATGTCAATTGTAAGTACATTCAAAAGAAGGTGATTTATGAGGTCTCTAAATGTGCCATTTAGAGTTTCCATCCAGTGCTTTGGAGGACCATTCAGGGCTGGCATTTCAACCGATTCAGGCAAGTGACTGAGGAGAGTCTACAACTGGCTATTCAGCAGTTGCTGTTTTATAATGTCTGTAATGGGTGTCATCATTGAGTGCTTATTCTGCGTTAGACAATGTGCTTCTTACTTTAAAGGCAAAAGTCCCAGTCTTCCTGACAGCCCTGCTAGGTGGGATCATAGCCCCTATTTTATAGATGAAAACTTTGGCTCTCCAGTGAGTTTGGTCACTTGCACAGAGTCATTTAAATCATGTGTCTTAGCCACACAACATGTAACCTTCGTTTGTCCAGGTTCCCAAAGTCAGTGGTCTCTCTCTAACTGACAAACTGTGCATATCCAGGTGTGGTGGGTGTTGAGTAATATTTGTGGATACTAGTTGTAAATCAGAGTCCCTCATGGAGCTTCTTAAAATGCAGAAACCTCCTACTAAACACATCCACAGGATTCTAATGAAGTAGACCTGAGGGTTTCAAATCTACCGTGTGGCGGTGAGTTTGGCTTGGTCTTGGGAAAGAAGCTTAGGAAACTCTCAGTCTATTTGTGTATTGTCCTTCTGAATTGAACATACAATAAATGTTCATGATTTTAAAATAAAACAAAACAGAACCAAAGCATATGTAATGCAAAAGAAGCAACCTTCCCTACTCACGCTCCCTGGCTCCTTCTCGGAGGCAACATCGGTTTTCTTGCATATGTTTTATAACCTGCATCGCCTAGTAGAAATGAAATGCAAGTCACATAGGTAATTTTAATTTTTAAAATAGCCCCATTAAAAAAAGCAACAGCAACAGGTAAATTTATTTTAATTATATTTTATTTTCTGTACAAGGTACTGTCATTTCAATATGTAGTCAATATAAATAGTATCCGTGAGATTAGTGTTGGGGGTGATTTTTCATAGTTGTTTTGTGCCATCTAGTCAGTTTCAACTCACAGTGACCCTGTGTAGTGTTTTCGAGGAGCTGCTGATGGGCCTGAGCTGCCAACCTTGTGGTTAGCAGGCCAGTGTTTATCCTACAGCACCACACCAGGACTCCAGTGTATACTTGACCAGCGTCTTTGTTTCCTGACTAGCCACATTTCAAGCAGTCATAGTCATAAGGCATACAGCTACTGGATTGGACAGTACAACTGTAGATATTTCTTAGACAAATGTGTGTACATATACAATATCTTATTTCAAACACCAATGGATGTCTCATTCTCCCATCTTCTTTTGCACATTGCTGTTGCCTTGAAATAGTGAAGACTGCCCCATAGAGGCTATATAAATTGACTCTTACTTATATGAGCCTTGGCAAACCCATACCTTATTCTGCTACATAATACAGACCTGAATTATGAGTAACTTCATTATTCATAAGAATTTTGATTATGGAATTTGGGTTTAACAGTCCTAGATTGAATCCTGACTCTGCTCCTCAACAGCTCTGTAGTTTTGGACCCAAACCAAAAACCAAGTCCATTGGCATTGAGTCAATTCTGACTCATAGGGATGCTACAGGGCAGTTTCCTAGTCTGATATCTTTGTGGATGCTGACTGCTGTTTCTTTCTCCCATGCTGTCCCTGGTGAATTTGAACTGCCAATCTTGTAATTAGCTGCCAAGAACTTAATCACCGAGCTACGTAATTTTTCTGAGTGTTAGTTTCCTCATTTGCTGAGAAAGATTATAATAGTACCTAGACTAGAGATGGAGTCCAGCGTGCTGCTGTAGGGTAAACTCTGGACCACAAAGTTGTTTTGAACCACAGGGTCGGTGATTCCAACTTACCAGCTGCTACTTGGAAACCCTATACAGGGTTGTTGTGAGTCTGAACTGATTTGACAACACTTATCAACAACTCATATGGAGTCTTGGTGTGGCGCTGTAGGATAAGCGCTTGACACAGGGTCAGTTTGAACTGCAAAGTTGGCAGTTCAGACACACCAGCTGCTCCTCGGAAATTCTATTCAGGGTCGCTATAGTTGGAACCAACTGGAGATGGAGTCCTGGTGTGGCAGTGTAGGATAAGCACTGGACTGTTAACTGCAAGGTCAGTGATTCAGACCCACTAGCCACTCTTTGGAAACCCTATGGAGAGTCACTATGAGTTGAAAGCAACATCATGGCACTTAACAAGACCAAACAAAGTTTTGCTAAAGGGGTAAAATACAAATGCAAATGAAGTTTCCAGCTGGGGGACCCAATCCACAATAAGCATTCAGTAAATGGTAGCTCTTGTAATTGATAATAATAATCCCCCCCCCATACCCAAAAATCCTGACAAAAACCAGAATTCCAGGTTGAGAATACAAGCAAGCGCTAACCTAAAGAGGAGCAGTATTAGTAAACGTGCTCAATCAGCAATTTGATGGGGAGAAAAATGGTTGGTATCCAGTGTTTTGACACAGAGAACAAATGGCTAAATTGCAGGACAGTACAATTTCAGAGGACTCACTTGTTTGAAGTGATTTAATCTAAATCCTCTATCAATCAATTTTACAGAGACCTAAAATAAGTGTTTGTTGAGTGAGTGAAAGTTCTACAAAATGCTTATGTTCATAAAATGCAAAAAGAGGTGAATTGCATATTGCTTGGACTGTGTTCACAATTAACTTTGAAAAATTTATCTTGGTTACAGGTAGCTTCTATCTATAAAGACCCAAGTATTGGAAATTTAATTAATATTGTTATTGTGAACTTAGTTGTGATTCATAATGAACAGGTAATCTTTTTTTTTCTTCTTCTTCTTCTTCTTTCTTCTAATTGTATCTGAAATGGCATATCTAACTGGTGTTGGTACAGCCGACCAACCATAATTGTTTTCTGTAATTAGGAAGGACCGTCTATATCTTTTAACGCCCAAGCAACATTAAAAAACTTTTGCCAGTGGCAGCATTCCAAGAACTATCCCGGTGGAATCCAGCATGACACTGCTGTTCTTGTAACAAGGTATGTGGATTTCTTATTCCACAAATCACTTCGTTTCTAGTCAACTGATGGGATGAGGGCATGTACTCCTGGGATCCAGCCCCTAGAGCAGAGATTCTAACTGAGGCATTGTTGACCTTTTAGACCAAATCATTCTTAGCTGTTAGGGAGATGTCCAGTGCATCCTGGTTCCTATCCATCATACACCATAATGTCCCATCCTTTTACCTGTGACATTCAACAATGTTTTCAAATGTCCTCTGGGGAGGGACAGAATCACCACAGGCTGAGAGCTAAGAATGTATGGGTTCCAGGTAGGTAATGGATGTGCTTCGCGGGCCTGCAAATTCATGTCCCTTCTAAAATTGATAAGTGCGGTTCAGATTGATTGATTCCCTTCAGGATATGAGTCCAGTGTTACCAGCTTCTGAGATTTACCTAGAAATGATAAACATGGATTTTTAAAAAATATATGAGGTCTCCTCATTTTTAATGTGGGTTACGTCACAGTGTAAAGAGAAAAGTTCTCACCATTGGACCAATAAATAACATCATGATAAATGGAGAAAAGATTGAAGTTGCCAAAGACTTCACGTGTATCCACAATCAACACTCTTTGAAGCAGCAGTCAAGAAATCAAATGGAGTATTGCATTAGGCAAATACGCTGCACAAGATCTCTTTAAAGTGTTGAAGAACGAAGATGTCAGTTTGAGGACTAAAGTGTACCTGACCCAAAACATGGTATTTTTAATAGATTCATATATTCTCTGGTAGCTTAGTGGTTATGAATTGGGCTGCAAACTGCAAAGTCAGCAGTTCAAAACTACCAGCTGCTCTGCGGGAGAAAGATGTGACGTTTTGCTCCTGTAAAGATTTACAACCTCAGAAACCCTGTACAGGGTCGCTATGAGTCAGAACTGACTCCACAACACACAGTAAGACTATAGAAGTGTCGATGCATTTGAGTTATGATGTTGGAAAAGAATATTAGAGGTACCATGGACTTCTAGATAAACAATCAATCTGTGTTGGAAGAAGTACAGCCAGAATGCTCCTTAGAAGCCAGAACAGTGAGACTTCATCTCTCATACTTCAGACATATTACCAGGAGGGACCAATCCCTGGAACATATAATGCTTGGAAAATAAAGGGTCAGTGAAAAAGAGGAAGACCCCCAATGAGATGGATTGGCACAGTAGCAGCAGCAATAGACTGAAGATTAACAACAATTGTGAAGATTGTGCAGAACTGGGCAGTGTTTTGTTCTGTTGTGCATAGGATAACGGTGAGTCTGAACCGACTTGACAGCACCTAACAATAACAATTTTTACATCGCTACAACCAAGCTAAAAGATGTTTACAAGACAGTCCTAGACAACAAAGGGTCTGCTGACCTCATTATACGAGTACCTCCAGTTGGCCATGTATGATATGGTCACAATTACTCATAAAAGGAACTTCCGTGAAAGACATTCAGAGCCTTCTCAGGAATGTTCTCAAGGAATCTTTACAAAACTAGAATCATTTACTCGAAGGCCTTAGGAAAACTCCTGGTTGGAGAGATTTCTTAGAAAGGTTCCCCACCTGTTGCCCTGTGGCTACCCCTGCAGCAGAGGAAGACTTTTTTTAAAAACTGTTTTTTGTGAATTACGTGATAGTGTACATGGGAGAACATTAGCTTTATATTCATTGCCATGGTTACATTCCCCTCCATGCAT